ATACTAACCCTAACTTGCTCTCCGATGCATCCATCGGAGTGTGAATGTACTTAGAAAGCACTACGTATAGATAAAGTGCTTGTGAGAATGGGTGAATGAGGCATGTTGTATAGAGCGCTTTGAGTACTCCGGGAGAGTAGAAAAGCGCTATATAAGAATCAGTCCATTTACCATTTATACAATATTTAAAACATTTTTTTTAAAACTCCTACATTTTCAGAAATTTTGGAGGGTTTTTTTTGTACTACTTGAACAGTCTTTCTAGCACCGAGGGTTAGGGGTTAGGGAAAATCAGTCTTGGTGTTTGCCACAGACCCATCTGAGCTGAGGTTGGTCCCTGAGGTCTGTCGGCTCTAACGTGGAGATCCAGCTGCACTGGCAGGCGTACGCCCGCAAGCCTCTCCTCTTCTTCAGCTTGGTTCCAAGCTTCTGACGTTCCGGCATGTTGTTCCTGCCGGCAGAGAAAGACAGACAGTGAACTTTAATCGTTACAGGGATAAGACCTTACCCTTCCAGCTGCAGCCCTGCAGACAGTCTGCTGGAAGGACAAAATATCTGACATGCACAGATGAAAGTGAGAGAAAAAAAGGATTCTTGCCCTTAAGGAACTTTTAAGCTATGATGCCAAAGTATAGCGACAATAAAGGAATCTTTATCATATGAAACACACTGGCCGACTGGTTCCATTTCTGTGTTTCCAGCAGCTCAGGCAGTGTTTTCATCACACAGCCTCTGACAGACTTCACCAAGGGGAAAATCTAGCAGCTTTAGAGACAGTTTGTAATTTTAAAAAAAAGTTCTTTGGACACAAACACCACTTTAAACTGATGTCAGTGTTGCTCTGTAACTGATAGATGGGTACACTCAGTACCTCAGTTTGCTCACAAAGCAACCTCAATTTGTGCAGTCATGGAATCCACAGGATGTTGGAAACAATCCTTTGAGTTTGACACAATGCCATCACATAATTTCTTCAGAGTTGATACAACCGTCCGTTTTAATGCATCACCAGAGCTCTTTGTTATGTTTCAAGAAACCAGTCTGACATGACTTTTGCTCATGCTGGAAGCAGCCACTAAATGGAAAATTATTTCCTTATAAGAATGAACATGATGGATGACAATAGGGCGACCGTGGCTCAGGGGGTTGGGAATCGCATCTGTAACCGGAAAGTCGCCGGTTCGATCCCTGGGCTCTCTGTCCTGGTCGTTGTGTCCCTGGGCAAGACACTTTACCCTACTGGTGTTGGCCAGAGGGGCCGATGGCGCGATATGGCAGCCTCGCTTCTGTCAGTCTGCCCCCGGGCAGCTGTGGCTACAACTGTAGCTGCCTCCACCAGTGTGTGAATGTGAGAGTGAATGAATAGTGGTATTGTAAAGCGCTTTGAGGGTCTTGAAAAGCGCTATATAAATCCAATCCATTATTATTAATAAACAGAAAGGCTGCAGCATTCCAGTAATTAATTAAAAGTAGATAGAAGTTAAAGTACACTTCTACTTCTTTGTTTTCAATCATGTATACACTGTTACAATGATGTATCCTCCATGACAAATATCATCCATATAGTAACCTTTCCAAAAACACAAACAATAATACCAACCTATACTGTGTCAGTTTGGGTTAAAGTAGGGGCCCGTTCTTCGTACCTCGCTAAGTAAGTTAGCTGGATTTGATTGTTGACGATTTCGCGTGATCTTGGATCGTTCGGTTCCCCGAAGCTCATCCGGGACTTGCTGTCATAGCAACAGTAAGCGTAAACCTGCTCGGGAGCAGGTTTACTTTATGTAAACAGGATTAGATCGCGGCCACGCAGGTATGTCCGCTTCATTTATACGAAAGCAACAGCGATATTCCACCACTGTTTCACCATAAATAAATAACATCAGTGTAACTAAAGATAATGTAGCACTTGATCCTTTTATTGATGTCACACAGATACATACAGGTCATTTCCTAAAAAAGGGAAAAGTACTATTAACATTCTATTACATGTATGTGATTATTACAGATGTAATTCATATTTCAGAGTAGTAATTGCAAATTACTTCGTGTAATCAAGATGAGAGACCACGGCTATAAAAGCGAAGGTGGATTTGGGAAGTCTGTCGCAGCCATGTCCTGTCCGTTTACGCGAGCCACCCATTGCGGAAGGTGCAAGATTGATGAGGAGAGTTTTCAGAATTCAGCGTATATTGCGGGACAGACAGGATCCTTTAGCTCAGCGCGACAGTGTGCTCATAGAGAGATATCGATATTCCCGTGAGGGTATTATTTACCTAACCAACTTGTTGACGAGGGGGTGCAGGACCACCACCTGTCTTTTTTTGCTCTGCCCTTTTCTTGGTTGCTGTTATGAACAAACAAACAGATTATTTCAGGCTCTCTTTCCAAGAGACTAAAAGCAACATAAGTGATAAATATTACCATTCTGTAGAATATTCTTATATTTCACTTTTACTTGTTCCCATGTTCTAGTGGGTCCTGTTGTGGCTCTAATGTGAAAGGGGATATAATATAACATAATATAATATAATGTAATATAATATTGGGTAATATAGTGTGATATGATAAATTTACCCTACCGCCTACTGGTGTTGGTCTGAGGGGCCGATGGCGCAATATGGCAGCCTGGCTTCTGTCAGTCTGCCCCAGGGCAGCTGTGACTACAACCGTAGCTGCTTCCACCAGTGTGTGAATGTGAGAGTGAATGAATAGTGGCATTGTAAAGCGCTTTGGGTGCCTTGAAAAGCGCACCTTAGATCACATATGCATCAACACTACAATGAGCGGGTGGAGGGAGGTTTGGAGTCTTCTCCCACCCCCATTCTCTGCGGCCTGCTGGAGCGGGCCTGCCTCTCCCCACCGCAGGGAAAAGGGTAACACCACCTGGGTCTGGGTGCA